AGTGGGTCTGTCGATGGACCCGGGACGGTCACCCCACTCAGTAAATCATTTGCAGCCCAGTCTGGAGACGGGCAGGTGGCGACCACCCAAACTAAGCTTGAGCGTTTGCAGCTTTTCTGTGCCAGGAGATGAAACGGACCTCCCGGCGGCCCCCCCACCCGGGGCCAGTGACCCGTCCCTCCCGCGCGCCGGCCGGTTCCTTGTCGCTGCCGGGCTCTCGGCCTTTCCGTGGGTGCCGTCTGCTTTGATCTTCTCGGCTCTTTTCAGCCCGCTCTCTCTGCTCTCTGTGGGCTGCGGCCGCCCCGCCCGCATTAGCGCCCTTCCCGGCCTCCCCGCCAGGGAGGTGGCTTTTATCTCCCAGAGGAATCTCATTAGCCTTCCATTATGATGGCCGAGCTCAGCTGGCTGGCGGTGGGCTTAAATCAGTTAATAGGGGCTTTTGTTATTGCCCCAGGCCTGTTTTTTCCCAAGTCTTGGATGCTGAGCAAAAAACAACTTTGTTGTTAAAAAGTGTAAAACAAAAAAGATTGAAGGTGGGCGCTTAGGCCAGAGAGGAGATGTGCCAGGTGGCTGTCTCCTCCTCCAGCCGCTGCCTGGAGCTTGGGGAGTCAGTGGAGCCCGCGACCCAACAGGGCGAGAGGGAGGGGACAGCAAATGAGCCTGCTTTGCTTCCTCCTGTTAGGGTATTCCTGTAGTGGACGGTGGGAAATTGAAGAAATTAAGTGATCGCAGAAGGAAAAAAACAACTGCCACCATTTGGCAGTTAACGGGAGTACCCGATACTGGACCTTCAGAGGAGGAAACTGAGGACGGTGTCATGGGCCACTGAGGTGCCCGGCCTGGGAGCCAGGTGCCAGGGAGCTGTGGCACCCCGGGCCAGCAAGGAGCACACGCCCGGGCTGTGGCCCAGCCTCAGTCGGGCTTCCAGAGACTTGCGGGGGCAGGCAGGGATGCCCAGGCAAACCCCAGGGCTGGCTGGGGTGTCTTTGGGAGGCAGGTGGGCTCAGACTCAGGCCTCGCGAGCCCTGGGCTCAAACCCCCCTTCCCCTCTGCAGCCGGAGACACGGGCGTCTTCCCTGCTGAGTCTGCATGCCCGGGAGTGTGGAAACACAACAACCCCGCCCAGCCCCGGTTAACCGAGAGGGGCACAGGCGTCACGTGACACGCTCCCCTTACACTGGTCTTGGCGTGTTCACAAGGTAACCTGTGGGTCTGACAGGTGCCCTTAGAGAGCAGGGAAGCCATGCCGCGCCCAGACTCCCCGCGCAGGCGCCCCCCACACCCCACCTGCTGGCCTCTGGGCAGTGCCGCCCCTGCCCCCCTCCCCGCCCCCCAGTCTTCAAAGGACAAAACCTGTTTGGGGCCTTTTCCTGCAGTGTAGGAGATGCCAGCTCCTGGCTGGGCAAAGGCAGGGCCCTCTGGCAGCCTGGGCCCCCACCACCCAGGGAGCGCTGGGAGCGTCCACTCTAGCCCCCCCCCCACCCCCCTGCTTCACTTGCGCCTCTGGATGGCCCGGGCAGGACCCTGGGGCCGTCAGCATTCTCATTCCCCAAGAGGAGCTGGGAAGATCAGCTTAATTCCTAGCGTGGAACTGAGAACTAGAGTGTCTAGCGAATTCCCAGGTGAAGCCAAGGCTGCTGGTCCGTGAACCACATTCTAAGCAGCACCGTTAAGCAGAGGACGTTTCCTTGGCCATAGGAGTTTGCAGGAGTCAAACCTGGCAAGTGTGCAGCTTATCTCCCGGTCAGGAAATAAAGGCCCAGAGAGGACACCCAGTGTGAAGAGGGGCAGAGAGCTGCTGAGACAGATAACTGCGTGTCTGGCCCGCCCCACACAGCACGCCTCATCCCGACCGCGTGCTCCTCGCACTCACTCAGGGCCCCGGGCCTCCCCCGCGTCGCAGGGGGCGAGAACACGGAGCATCTGCTCGTCACGGCCCCCGAGTGACAGCGACACCGCCTCTCACGTCTGCCACGCTGGCGGGGCTGCAGGCGGCCCGGCCTCCCGACAGGGCAGGAAGGACAGCAGAGCCTGGCTTCGGGCACCAGCACCCATGGACAGTGCCGGCTCCGCAGGGCAGGGGGAGGTGGGCCAGAGCCCCGAGTGCCCAGCCCCCCGCCCTGCCCGAGCCAGTGTCCTGCCCTCCCGCTCTGCAGCACACGTGAGCAACCTCCACGCGGGGTGGTGGGCAGGTGCGGACCGAGGCTCCCAAGCCCACAGTCACAGAGACCTCAGCCGAGTTTGCGGGAAAGCTGACCTCAGCCAACAGAACGCATCCTGCAGGTTGAGGCCCAAGGAGGCCGAGAAAGGAAAGAGCCCGGCGAGGAGGAGACGGGGGCGCGGGACCGGACAGGGGGTGAAGGACGGAGCCAGGCCACGCTGTGGACCCGGCCACGGCCACACCCTGGGTTCCGTCCGGTGCATTTGGGGCCCTGAGGGCTTCGGCTGGGGACCGAGACAGCTTCATGGTCGTCACCCCGGTACCTCGCATCGCGTGTCCCCCTCACCATCACCCACATGCCGGTGCTGTTGTGTGACCCCGTTTTCCAGGTGGGAAACTGCAGCTTGAAATAGAGGAAGTAGCTGGCCCTGGAGGCACTGCTGAGGAGGGGCCAGGGCCCCGCGCCCGCCACGTGCACCCGCTGCCCGACTGGGGGCGGCCGGCCCCGCGGGAGGAGGCGGCAGCCGAGCCCCGGTGGCAGGGCCAGAGCGAGGGGTTCAGGAGACTTGGACACCGCCTGGGCAGAGCTTGTGGCCCAGGCCACTAGGCGGGCAGGGGTGTCATCACCCGGGACACGGGGCCTGCTTACCACGGGGCGCTCTCAGGCCCAGCCAGACGAGGCCAGGTGCAGAGCCCGGCGGAGGGCGGAGGGCCACGAGGGCAGGTGCCCAGCGACGGGCGGTCTGGGCGGACGTTCCTGACAGGAAAAGACCCTCGACCGTCAGGCCTCGGCCTCGGGCAGCGTGGGCCAAGCGGGCTGGGTGTGAGGCCCTGGGCCCCCGTGCCCACCGCAGCCGAATGCCCGGCCCAGAGGCCCTGCCCTCCCGGGGCGGCTGCCGGATGTGCAGACCGGTAAAGCCAGGCCACGCACCACAGAGACCGTGGTGGGCACGTGGCACTGCCCTGAGCCTTCTGGTGCTTCAAGAGAAGCTAGGGATCGACTTGAAGTCTCCCCAGTGTTACATGTTGGCCAGTTACGTCAAAAACCGTAACACGGAAAACAGAATGTACGGAAAGCATCCCCGGCTCGGCCAGGGCCTCTGCGTGGCCAGTCGGAGGCCCTCAGGGCCAGGAGCTCACATTGCTGAAATACACGGACCTGGACCCGTCCAGGGGGCCCCTGGGCGCAGGAAAACCTTGGGGAAGGCGCTTACCTGGAGCTCGGGGTCGGGCCCAGGCTGCGCCCACCTGGCTGTGCTGGCGTGCGGGGTGCTGCGGGCTCAAGGAGGAGCTCTCCAGGGCCTCCCTGGCGGCACAGCGGGCCCAGCGCAGCGCGGTGAAGCCATCTGGTCACCGCAGCTCCAGTCAGATCCCCGGCCAGGGGGCGACCACAGGGCGCCGCAGACCCCTCCTGTCTCCCCGCCGCCCCCCTCAGCAGTGGACTTTGTCGATCTGCCTGCTCTCCCCACTCTGTCTCTGGGGAGTCCTCTCCCCCCCAACCCCCCGGCCCGTACCCCAGTTCTTGCGTGCGCAAATACATCTTTAAGAAAGAAGAAGGAAGACTCTCTAGCAACGCGCTGTGTTCTGGCGGCGGCTCTGACGGTGCGGCCTCTCGCGGCCGTGGGCGGTGCTGCGGGGGGCGCCCACGGGTGTCCCCGCGGGGCAGCGGCCCGTGCTGCAGCAGGTCGCCCGCCCATCACCCCCGCCGTCTGCCAGGTTATCATCACGGCCGTTTGCCGGGGAGGGGTGAGGCGGTGCCGGGTTTAGACTGTCTGTCAGGTGCTTAAAATAAAAAGTCTTTGCGCTTGAAGAATAAGGCCCACGATCCCGGCAGTCACGCGGGCGAGTTTCTCGGGGCGCTGGGGACGGGGTGCGGACCCGCGGCTGTCCGCAGCGAGGCCTGGCGTGCATGGGCAGCGCCCGCCCAAAGAGGGCGGGTCTGGGTTTGGCACCGCCGCAGCCCCCCCGGAGCTCACCCTCCGTGGGGTTCACCAGCCCCAGGCAGCCCGGGATGCAGCGGGCAAAGGGCAGCACTCAGGGCCAAGGAGGGGCTGGGGGCGGGGACAGCCCTCCCATGTAGGGAAACTGAGGCTGGGGGAGTGCTGTGGCCGCCTGACCTCCGCACGCCGCTGCTCAGCCCCTAAGCACGTCTGTGTGCCCCCCGCGGGCCGAAGCCCCCCAGCGGTCCCCGCCAGGTCAGCGGTAGTCTGGAGTTGGCGCTGTGCTCCGCTCTGGGCCACAGCAGTGGAGACGCCAGGGATGCCCAGCCGGTGAGCCAGCCCCAACACAGCTGTCAAAGCAGCGGCCATCGCGCGCTGCTGACGGACGGCGGCGTCAGCCCTGCAGGGTCGCGGCCCCGGGGCCTGCGAGCGGCCTG